GCTAAAGCCCTCCCAGCGGTAGCAAGCATGAGCTGAGGTGTATAAAAGGTAAACTTAAATTAGTAAGAGAGAGACAGAGAAAGGAAGAAAGGCTACCAGGAGAATTTCTTTTAATTGACTAAAGACGACAAACACTTCAAAACGACTGCCCTTCCCCTTTCAGATTCAGGTTTGAGGGCTCCCGCCTCTGTGCGCCTCTATGCTCTGCCTCTCAGACGGAAGCACTCAGCAAACTATCCCTGGAACACACTTAATGAGATAGCCCAGCTTCCAGAACCACTAAAAGGGCGAGCAACCCTCACACGGTCTTAGAAAGTTCACAGACTCACCTCTAACCAGTCCATTTGGATCAACAACTAGGGCTGGCCTGAGGCCAAAGATTTTAAGAGGTGGAAAAAAATAAGAAAACGTATGAGGAATAATAAGTATTTATTAATTAACTCATTTGTTTAAAATATCTGCATGCCTACTCTGTCCCTAAGAAATAGGAGGCACCATCTAATGAATCTTTGTTTCTTTGTATCATCTCACCTGCTTTGTGTTCAGCCCACAGCTGCTGATTCCTTACTGCAACCCCAGAGTCTAGCCCAGGGCTGGCACTCCTACTTGTTGTCTAGCCAAATACACAAACATACACATTTAAGTCTCACAACAAACCACTAGGTATTATTGCCCCCCCCCCTTTCACAGGGGGGGAACTGAGGTTCATTGAAGTAAAGTGATCTACCCAAGGTCACACAGCTAGAAGCTGAAAGGCAAACCTGGATCTTCCTTTTTTAAGATTTATTTACTTGAGAGACAAAGAGAGGGGGGAGAGAGAGAGACAGAGAACAAGTGGGGGAAAGGGCAGAGGAACAAGCAGACTTTCAGCTAAGCATGGAGCCAGGCTAGATCCCACCCCTGGGATCATGACCTCAGCCTGAAGTCAGACACTTAACCCACTGAGCCATCCAGGTGCTCCACACCTGGATCTTTCATGTGCTTACTCAAACTATCCTGACCAGCCAAACAGACTTCATTCCCCTCCTTGAAAGCCCAAAGCCTTGAAAGGAGATGGGAGTTGAGGCAGAGTGGAAACCCAGAAAGCCTGATGGTGACAGGTGCCTCGGGGATTTTAGGGTTTTGGCAGCTTCTGGGAGATGTGAGAACGGACTGCTGCAGCGTCTGGCTTATCTGGCGCTACACTTAGAAGGGAATGTGTAACAGACACCAAGGTGAGCATTTCGGAAGAGAAGACTCACCCAATATAAAGCCCCAGACAGCGAAAAAGGGATTTCCATAACCACCTGGCAGAGGCAGGGCGGTCCAGCAGGCCCCACGGGGGTGGGGGAGCAGCAGGCAGACTTCCCTACATAGGAAGTATGTAAGGAAGCCTCCGCTTCTCACAGACACAAAGGCAAGAACAGGAGGAGTCAGGTCTCCTTCCCCAGTGAGCTCAGCACCAAGCCTTATCACCGATGTGAGTAATGGGGAAGTGAGTCCGAGGGGCGGGAGAGAAAGGATCTGATGATGTAAGGGAGATCCCAAAGCAGGTTTCTGTATTTGTATTTTTTTTTTTTAGCCCAGTTGAATTAGGAGGTTTGCACACTGTTTCTATCACCTTTCAGCACATCTTTTAGAAATGGGAAATGGATGTATTTAATCCACCACACAAGTGGGTGCTTGTGAGCTAGGTCAATCCATTAAGCAGCCAGAACCCAAACCCAAAACATAAACCCTGTTTGCCCAAAACCAGGTGGTAGAGGAAGCAAAGCAAGGAAGTCATCGGTCTGAACACCTGCAGGCTTCCCCCACCCCTACCCCACCCATGCCTCCATCAAACTAAGGGCACTATGATGATACTTCTTAGATCCCATACTGTCTAACGGCCTGGGTTTCTCAAACCAGTTTGTGCTAGGAAAAAAAATCAGAAATTCTAGAGAACTGGGTTATAGTTGTTTGTTTTTTCAAATACTCTCCATTCTAGAACCTGGAGAGAAACCAAGGAAATAAATATAAGGCTGAGACTATGGGGTCAATCATCTCACAGAGCATGACAATCACCCCAGCGAACCACCCCAGAGTCCCTGGAGTTTGGTTTAACTCTATCTGTGACACTCTATGGCCAATGGTGGACAAAAAGGAACAGGTTCCTTGTTTTCAAACTCCCATGAAGCAAAGTGTTTGTGGAGCCAATGTTTAAACCTGGTGCTAATGTCACATCCCTCCATTTCCTTGGATTCCCCAAAGACTGAGACCACCACCTTCCTTAGGTGCCTTTTTAAAATCACAAAGCCGTGATGCCTGGGTGGCTCAGTTGGTTAAGCAGCTGCCTTCGGCTCAGGTCAGGATCCCAGCATTCTAGGATCAAGTCCCACCTCTGGCTCCTTGCTCAGGGAGCCTGCTTCTCCCTCTGCCTGCCACTATGTCTGCCTGTGCTCACTCTCTCTGACAAATAAATAAAATCTTTAAAAATAATAAAAAAATAAAATCACAAAGCCATGGGACGCCTGGGTGGCTCAGTGGGTTAAAGCCTCTGCCTTCAGCTCAGGTCATGATCCTGGGGTCCTGGGATTGAGCCCCGCATCAGGCTCTCTGCTCTTCGGGGAGCCTGCTTCCTCCTCTCTCTCTGCCTGCCTCTCTGCCTACTTGTGATCTCTGTCTGTCAAAGAGATAAATAAAATCTTTTAAAAAATAAAAATAAAATAAAATAAAATAAAAATACAATCACAAAGCCAGTTCTCTGAGGTCGCACATTGATTTTACCAGGACACTCCTATCCTGGGCTAACTGGGTCATTTTACACAGGACTGGTAGGAAAGCCCAAAACAGGGAAATGTCAGAAAATCTGTTGAGTGGGGTGGGTCCTGGATAGAAAGAAACTGAAACCAGCCACCCCACCGAGGAGCTCGCAGAGGCGGCCTCTCCCACCAAGATCGCCAGCGGCTGACTCCCTGCACTTCCTATGGAGTCTGACCCATCTCCATCACCACTACCTCCTCTCCTCCGAGTCCTGCCACATCAACATCTCTGCTCTCTCAGGCACACAGCGAAGATGACATCTACTTCACAATGGACACTACTTCCCCAAATGCCATCTTTCTCTTTTTTTTTTTTTCCCCAGAATATTGAGCAGGTAAGAGAACAGAAGACCAGCTGTGTGTCTCTGAGCAGATTACTAAATTGCCCAGTTTCCTCACCTGCAAAATCGACCAAATAACGGTGCCTACCCTCATAAAGCAGAATCAGGTGAAGGGAAACACCTGCCTCAGAGTTTGGTTCAAAAGGAATAGGTGCCGCTATTAATAATAATAATGGCAGGGGTGCCTGGGTGGTTCAGTCAGTTAGGCGTCTGCCTTTGGTTTGGATCATGAACCCAAGGTCCTGGGATTGAGCCCTGCATCTGGCTGCCTGGTTAGTGGGAAGCCTGCTACTCCCTCTCCCACTCCCCCTGCTTGTGTTCCCTCTCTTGCTGGGTCTCTGTCAAATAAATAAAATCTTTAATAATAATGGTAATTTTTATATTACATAGTAATGTTAGTGGGACAGACCAAGAGCTTGTCAGGGGGAAAGGCGGGGTGCAGTGCGGGAGCAGTGAAAGCCAGATTAACCCACATCTGGAGCTACCAAATGTCCTGAGGTACAGGAAAACAAAGTGACCAGCTCTTGTCTTGGACATCCCCATAGAGAGAAGCACTCACACTCCCAGTTTCTAACCCCTGCCTCAATCTTCAAGACTGGGTAAACTGCCTCCTCCAAGAAGCCAGTCCTACCCACTGGCAGCCATCAAATCATCCCACGCCACCCACATTCTTTGGCAACTAAATGCCCACGTCCCACAGTGCCCTCTTAAGTGGGTCCTGGGACATTCTCCATAATCTGCTGGAATGTGACATGCCAACAGGCTGGAGTGTCCCTGTAGCTCTTCGATTCATTCCTGGGTGCCCAGAACAGGGATGGGCAGAATATCAACCATCGGGTAATGGTGGACCCACTGCAGAACTCCTTTCTGACTCAATAGAGAGCTCCACACAACACCGACAGGACCCAGAAAAGCAAGTATGTTTAATCAATGAAACTGCAGTTTCTGTTTAAAAAAATGCCGCCCACTGTTGGAACAACTTCCAAAATTCAAACAATCTTCACACAACAGCATGACTGCTGCTGTTTTCACGTGACCAAAGACTGGAAGAAGAAATGCAGTGAATTTCCTCTGGGAATCGTGGGTGATTTCTCACTTTAACAAGTGTTTTATAGTTACAATACTTGCCCCACCAACTAAAATCAAGAGGAAGGAGAACTCGTTTGGTAGAAAAGAAGCATCTGGGAAGTTAGTGAAACCAGAAGAGAAACCAGGCTTCCCTTGCTCGCTCACTCCTGCGAACAGTGAAGTGAAATAAAGCAAACCCTGTAATCCTGATGATCACAGTGATACTGCCCAGAAATACATTGTGTGCTTTTTCATTCCCAGAATCAGAGCTACCTGGCTTTAAAACAAAAAGAAGAACAAAAACAAACACAAACAAAATAAACATTATTCCTTAGGGGAATGGTACGTGTATTGAAATTTTTCACCTCTTTGGGCAAATGCCACAACCTAATAACCAAGACAGGGCACCTCGTAACTGAGATGGTGCAGAATGGGGCCTGGGAGTCGGGCCCATTCAAATTCCTGCTCTCTGACCTTGGGCAAGTGGACTCCACCCTCTGAGCCTCCATTTCCTTATCTGCAAAGGGGAATTACTAAGCCTTCGCCACCCTCCACCACACCAGGTTTCTCCAGTCTCGAACGACAAACTGTCTCGCAGGAAAGGCCTCTAAACGCCCCCTCCCCAACATCCCCCTACAAGGGTAGCCCTCTCACCCACAGTGCTCAACCATGGCTAAGGCTGAGATCCCTACATTTGTGTAAATGCCAAAGGGGTATCTTTTGAACCAGGAAAAAGGGGCTTTGCTCAGGGGCGTGGGAGTACAATTTCCCAGACCCTTGCCACTCCCACCACACCAGGCTCAGGACTTACCTCTGCCCAGGACTCGGCCTCTCTCTAAATGTCGCCGGGGCACTGTGAACGTGTAACTGTCAGAGCCAAAGCCAGGACGACAGGGCCCTGGCTCCTGGCAGAGCCACGATGAGACCTAAGTAGGGAAAAGGTATGAAACCAGGGTGACCTGGGCGCGGCGGCGGGAAGGGGGAGGGGGGTCCCCTCCTGCCCACACCGAAACCAACTGCGCCTCCCCTCCCTCGCTCCCACCGACGGCATTGTGGGAGGGAGCCACCCTCACTCACCCCCAACCCCCAGGGCAAGTAGCCTCGCCAAACCCCTTCATTCCGAAACCTGCTGCCGCCAAGCCCCAGGTACTCCCGGGAGAGGGGGCTGCTCTGTCAGCTGCTCCCCACCAAGCGCCCCTTTCCTTCCCGTCTCCTTTTTCATTTCACTGGAGGCATCTTCACCCTTCCCCACTTCACTTTCCACACACCGGGAACGCCCCCACTCCTAAGTCTACCTCCTCACAAGGAGGGGCGCTTCAACACCTTTTGAGCCCTTTATTATCCCAGGGGCGCCTCCAAACCTGTTTACAGTCTTTTCTTTACACGGCAGGTGCCTTTATTTCTACTGATTTCCCTTTCCTTACCACAGGGGTCGTCCCCACTCCTCCTGCCTCCCCTTGACTTGCACTGGGACTCCTCTTTTCCGTATCCCGACGCCCCACGTCCCCCCACTGCCCGCCCCCAGCGAGGACTGCGGCCAGCCCCGGGCCCCCCGACTCCGCCGCGAGGGTCGCCCCCGCCCCCCACGCCTCGAGTATTTGCGGGAGGGAGTGGGTAACGTCGCGCTCGCTCTCCACCCGCTCCCACTCCCACCTCCGTGGAGCCCAAGAGCGCGGCGCAGCCTCCAGGCCGTTCTTGAAACTAAACTTTCTTGGAAGAGGAGGGGGCGACAGGAGAAAGGAAGGGCCGACGACAGAGAGAATGGGGGCCGGGAAGCGTGGCGTGGGGGCCGGAAGGCGTCCCCCGCCCAGCCAGGGGACGCGACGTACCTGCAGTAGCAGCAGGAGCGCGCAGACGCTAGGGTACCGAGGGCCCATTGCGGGCCGAGCAGCGGTCGGGTCCTGCGGAGCTTGGCGGAGCGAGAGTGCGGCAGGACTTCCGCGAACTCACAGGTGCTCTGCAGCTCCCGGCGCGGACGAGCTGGGTTGCGACGCGGCGGCCAGGTGAGCCTGGAAGGCACCGCCCCCGGCACCGCTGATTGGCTGAGGCTACACCTGCTGCCCACGGCCAATGAGCGGCGGGGCTTAGCCTCGGCTTCCTCCGCGGATTCGGGGGTGGTCGGCTTCCACCCGCTTCAAGCCGCTGCCGCCCAGTGAACCGCTACCCGCGCTTGTTAGAATCAGGATGTGGGATAGGGGTTCCACCATCCCTGTCACCTCCAAGTTCCCTCCCAGCCTCCTGGTGCCTCACAAACACCTGGGGACAGAAAGGAATTTACTCTTTATCTAGTTTTGGCCTTTTTTTTTTTTTTTTTTTTTTTTTAAAGTAGACTCTGCTCTCAACGCGGGGCTTGAACTCATGACCCTGAAATCAAGAGTCACTTCTACAGACTGAGCCATCCAGGCGCCGCATTAGCTCTGCCTTTTCTTTTTCTTTCTTTCTTTCTTTCTTTCTTTTCTTCTTTTTCTTTCTTCCTTTCTTTCTTTCTTTCTTTTTTTTTTTTGACAGAGAGATTGAAGAAGGGGAAGGGCAAGGAGAGGGAGAAGCAGGGTCCCTGCTGAGCAAGCAAGGAGCCGGATATAGGCAGGAGCCCAGGGTCCTGGGATCATGACCTGAGCCTAAGGGAGACGCTTAATCGACTGAACCACCCAGGCACCCCCCACACACAGACTTTTTTTTTTTTTTTTTTTTTTAAGAGTTATTTATTTTAGAAAGAAAGCGCAAGAGCAGGGTGGAGGGGCGGAAGGAGAGGAGGAGAGTCCCAAGCAGGCTCTGAGCTAAGCACCCAGGCGGGACTGATCTCATGATTCTGAGATCAGCACCTGAGCGGAAACCAGAGTCGTTTGCTTAGGTGCAGTAGCTTAGGTAGCTTAACCGACTGAGCCACCCAGGGCTCCTAGTTCTGTCGAAATTTTTTAACTCCTGGTCTCCATAGGTTTGTGAGTGTGCAAATCAATCCACTGGGTGGGACCCACATTTCAAAAACATCAATATCTCCATCTTTCAAATGGTGTGCCAGGCCCTATGTTAAACATTTAACATTGACCCTCTCCTTTAATCTTATCTCAAAACAACCCAAGAGCTGTTGTTATTCCCGTTTGATAGGCCAGTAACTGATGCATAAAGAACTGGAGACCAGTAGGAGGTGGTGGAGGACTGGAACCCACCCCCTCTCATTCCAGGACCCTTCTTGCTATTAGCTTCACCTCATGTAGACCCCAGACCATCTTGCAGCTGGAGCGGTAGTTTCCTTTTTCTTTTTCTTTCTTTCTTTTTATTTTTTTAAGATTTTATTTATTTATTTGGCAGAGAGAGAGAGAGATCACAAGTAGGCAGAGAGGCAGGCAGAGAGAGAGAAGGGGGAAGCAGGCTCCCCGCCGAGCAGAGAGCCTGCTGCGGGGCTCGATCTCAGCACACTGAGATCACGACCTGAGCCGAAGGCAGAGGCTTAACCCACTGAGCCACCCAGGCGCCCCTCCTTTTTCTTTTTTTTTTTTTTTTTAATTTTATTTATTTATTTGACAGAGAGAGACACAGTGAGAGCGGAAACACAAGCAGGGGGAGTGGGAGAGGGAGAAGCAGACCCGCCCCCGCCCCCAGGAGAGAGCCCCATGTCCCTGGGATCACAACCTGAGCCAAGGCAGACGCTTAACGACTGAGCCACCCAAGCGCCCCTGGAGCGGTAGTTTTCAATCTTCGATGTTATCCTGGAAGAGACCCTTTAAAGATCATCCAAACCTGTTATCTGCAAGTAAGTTTCAATGTCCCATAGCAAGTCAATATCAAAGCCAAGACTGGAGCCTAATCCCCTGATCCCCAAATTGGAGCTCAACACCACACTATTGTCTCCACTGCCTTCTCTAGAGAATTCTGTCCTTAGGAAAATAATTTTAGAGTCAAAAAAGAATAGACATGCAGATGTTTGATCAGAGAGCTTCTGTGTCTGACTGCCAGAGGCCAGCCCCGTCTGTGTGGTTTGGCTATCCCTACGACGACACTATGTTTCCCTCACCCCCCAAGCATGTTCAGAACTACTGAACAATGTGGAGTAAACTGCTCACCAGCTGCATGACCTTGGGCAGCTCGGTGCTCTTATCTGTGTAAATGGGTCAATGGGAACTATTCAAGAAAATGACTAAACAGAATACTTGGAACCTGGTAGTGCCCGCTCAGTAAATGTTTGGTGTATTGGTTGTTCTTTGGAAAGAGCACTCCCTTTCCCTCTTCCTTACGGGGAAGGCCATTTTTAGCATACTTCACTAAATATTCATTAAAGGTGAATCTGGGCTCACTGAGGCTACTTTCTTAACCCAGAGGAGAGGTATTGTTGCAAACCAAGAGATCAGCCCAGCCATCCTCCCCCACCTGTCCCCTCAGTTTTAATGGGTTTCCCCACCTGTCCCCTCAGTTTTAATGGGTTTCTGAGTACACACCCAGGCCATTTGGATTTCTGCATTTTGGCTCTCTCTGCCTTTAACCCACCAGGAGGCTCATAGGGAAAGGGCTCCAGTATTTCCTTTCCCACTGAGGCTCCCGCCTGACTGTGCATTAAACAAGATAATGGAAATACAGAAAGAGGCGTTTCCCCCATGGGGCAGCTGGTCCGTTTATTTTTTTTCTCCCAGTTATGTAAAAATACATATTTTATACCATTGCTCGGCCCAGGGAGCCTTTAGGGCTTTGCTTTTCTCCACCCAGCAAACCCTGGCCTTGTAACTCTGAAGCAGCTCTCATCGACTCTTCCATTACACTCTGATAATTCAATAAAAAGGATTTTAGAAAACAATTAGGGGCAGTGAAGACAGGTCAGCATGATGCTCTCTTCAGACTTCTCAGCAAGTCCTTCAAGCTCCAGAAACAGTCGTGAAGGGCTGCTGGCTCTCAATGGTCGGAGTGACGAGGGAACACCCAGGAGGTTGGAGGTAGAGCACTGAGTAACTATGGCCCTCAGTGAACTGCCTCAGTTTCCTCTTCCGTCAAAAAAGGTTTCCTTTGGGGCTCCTCCGTGGCACAGTCAGTTGGGCATCTGACTCTTGGTTTCAGCTCAGGTCACGACCTCAGATCACACCCCGCATCTGGCTCCCCGCTCAGCAGTCTGCTTGTGACCGTCTCTCCCGCTTTCTCCTGGCCCTCCCCAACCCTAAAATAAATAAATAAATCTATTAAAAAAAAAAAAAAGGATTCCTTGGGGCGACTGGGTGGCTCAGTTGGTTAAGCAACTGCCTTCTGCTCTGGTCATGATCCCAGGATCCTGGGATGGAGCCCCGCATCAGGCTCCCTACTCACTGGGGAGTCTGCTTCTCCCTCTCCCTCTGCTGCTCTGCCTGCTTGTGCTCTCTCACTCTGTCAAATAAATAAATAAAATCTTAAGAAAAAAAAGAAAAGACTGTGAGGATCAAAGGAGCTGAAACACTGGGCTATGCTGCTGGTGCCCTTTGACCTCAAGTTGGTGGAGGCTTCACATTCTCCTCTAGCTGGGGAGGGGGTAGCAAGTGTCTTGATCCTTTCCAGTCTCAGTTTCCTCTTCCATATAAAATGGGGATGCTGGGTGCCTGGGTGGCTCAGTGAGTTAAAGCCTCTGCCTTTGGCTCAGGTTGTGATCCCAAGACCCTGGGATTGAGCCCTATATCAGGCTCTCTGCTCAGCGGGGAGCCTGCTTCCCTTCCTCTCTGCCCACCTCTCTGCCTACCTGTGATCTCTGTCTGTCCAATAAATAAATAAAATCTTTAAAAAATAATAAATAAAATAAAATAAAATGGGGATGCTGATAGCACTTAATTCACAAGATTCTTGTGAGCACTCCATAAAGTCAGCCTTTAGCACTCTTGGCTCAATACATCCTCTTCCCAAACTTTGAGCCCCTATGAAGCCTCCCCACCGCCACCATTAAAGCCTCATAGGCTAACTTTGGCTGCTGTGCAGAAAAAACTCTCAGACACCTGTCTGGTTAATCTTTTCAACCTTCCCAAGGGTCATTTGCATTTTAAAGAGGGCTCTAGGGTGTGCTTCTTTCAAAGGAATGAGAATTTAGGAGGTAGTAAGCTCGGCCCAGGGTTCTTGGAGGGGGTCTGTGGAGGAGCCGGCTTCTGGTAGGTCCAAGAACCCCGGAGATCATCTGCAATTGTGTCTGCGCAGGTCCACCGCATTCATTAGCTTCTCAACTGAGGGGAAGAAGAGTCACAGACTTGGAGTTAGATCTCTCTGAGGACCAGTCCAATGTTAACAGTACAATTTCAAGTATCTACAGCGAAAAGAAACGTTGGCCAGGGGCCTTGCTGGTGGATGACAGCCCCCACCGCTGATGCAAACCAAGCATTGGTCGCTGGGATGAGAATTCCAGGTTTCCTTATTACAGGGTGTGTCTCTGACGAACTTCCATTTCCTGGGTGTCCTGGCCCCAGGTCAGCCAGGAGGTTAATGATGACTCCTCCGGGTAGTCCTTTCCCTTTCATTTCCTGGCAATAGGGTGGCAATAGTGGTACACAGACCAAGAGGGATACCGCCTCTCTAAGCCTCTCTGAGAAGAGCTTAACCCCTACCTGGCTGGAAAGGCATCCCAGGGAAACTGAAATTGCCAGGGTCTGCAGCCAGATCAAGCTCCCAATGGTGTGGGGGAGAAGAGGCTCTGTACTAGCTGCTCCTGGGGGCTCCTGAAACCTCTGCTGGCCCAGACTGCCTGCCAGCACATAGGGGAGGGAGCTGGATATCCAGCTTCAGCTTCCTGTGAAAATAACCGTAACCGAAAAAAAAATAACGGTAACTGATAGAGGTGCCGCCCTGGCCTCTGCAGCTCAGCCAGCCCCTCGTGTCTGCAAAAAAACGTTGTTCTTTCAAACACAAAGAAAACAGTACACTGCGTACCCTGTAGGGTAGAATGAAACACCACATAGCTATCATCTAGCTTCAATAACTGTTTTTTGCTTTTTTTTTTTTTTT